CCCTCAGGGAGTCTCAGGTTGAACTCGTACGGCAGGAACGATTTCCTGGCGCAGAGCTCGTCGTATCTTTGTCGCAGCGCCTCCATGCTCAACTTAGCGTTCGTGAGAGATAACCGCAGCAATGAATCTACAAAGTCAATTAAGGGCCCAACCCGGCATCTGCAAAGACTTACCATCGCATCCCCGTCTCCTCCAAAGACACTGATCAAGATGTGCTGTGACAATCAATTCCGAGTACTTCTCCACCAAGGCTTCCTCTGCTTTACCAATCAGTTTAAATACCAGAGTTCAGCAAGGGATACCGTGGACCTACCAACGTCGGAAGCGACCAGTACGGGCACTTCCTTGCCATCGACCTCACGCTTGTTAAGCTTGACGACAAGCTCCTTGTTGCAGAGCGAACAGCGCACGCGATCCTTTCCCTGACACACCCAGCCCCTCTTCGCCCATTCGATCTCGTTGACCCTGTCTGGCTTTGGCGTCCAGTCCGTAATCTCTTGAAAGCTTGCTAGCCTCTTGAGGAGCTCGTTTCGATCGGTCGGGGCGTATTTTGACGAGACCTGGACGACTGTCTCCTTGGAGTTGGGCGTCCATTTTTTCAGGACGACATTCGATACCTTTGTCGCGGCAACGCCGGTTGTGGTGTTCTTGATGGTGGCCCTCTCCGTCAGAGCCTGCAGGCGCCGGCGCTTCAGCAGGATATCCTCTTCTATCGACAGGGGCATCTTGGCGTTTGAATCCGTATTCGTGTTCGTCGTGTTCGATGTGCTCGCGGTCGAGGCTGGCAGGGACGTCGTCGAAGGGCGAGGAGATTCGGCCGGTAGACTGGAAAAGTCATCGCTGGACTTGGTCGACGTCGAGGACCTGCCCATCCCCTGGATCAAGGCATTGAACTTTCGTTTGGTAGCGTTCATCTTGAGTCAGTGGTTTGATGAGACAGCGGCTGTCGGCGTTTACGTCGGTTCCAGGTTTGGTTACAGAATCGGACGGATGATGGCGAGATGGATGAAGTCGACCACAGAACAATCCAGCTTGCGAGAACGACGGTTCCGACTCTCTAGTGTTCGAACGAAGGCCGAGTCGTCATCTGCGTAGTGTTGCACTATGAAACGGGCCCCAAGAATAGGACGGTGCTTTGTCGCTAGTCGCAGAGGTAGCCGCCCACATTGAAAGTCAACAAACGGCTGTTGCTGATCGGGCAATGAGCTTGCACCCCTGTCGCGTGGCACGCTAAGGAGGGGAGCAACCAACAGGCAACTGGACGGTCTGGACCAATAAGGTCCTACGTGCATAAATTCATGTATCGAGGTTCATGATAAGATAAGAACATCTTTCGGATGAAAAAAAAAAAAAGTCGCGGGGCAGGGATGAGGGACTGGGATAAGGAAGCCGCAAAATTTTTGGAGCGCCGACTCGCCGACATCCACAGAAATTTTCCCAGGTGAAGACCGCCGCCGTCAGTTCCATCTCTCACCGAGGAACTTGCTACGCGACTACAGACTCAATTGCTTTATTTTGGGGCTACGCCACACCACCAAACCTCCTACGAACCCGACGCACATGTCAGCCTCTGGTCCTCCCTCTTGGCTTTTCTCAAATAATTCTTCAAAAGCCTCTGCGACTACCCCCGTTACCGCGACACCGCAAACCCAAGACAAGATGGTCAAAAAGGAGAAGAAGGGTAGCAAGGCCGCCGCTGCGCCCGCCAAGCAGTCGCCCCCCGACCAATTGATGGACCTTGTCGACGCCTTTCTCTCCGACAACGCCTTCACCTCCGCCCACCAGGCTTTCCAGAAGCAGCGCTCCAAGAGCGGATGGAAGCCCTCCAAGAAGCAGGCTGCTAGCCCCAGCCTGGTCGCCGTCTTCCAGTCCTGGCAGTCCACCGTCAAAGCTCCCGCGGCCAAGGCGGACGACAGCAGCGATTCCAGCTCCAGCTCCGACAGCAGCGACGAGGAGGATGTCGACATGGCTGACGCCGGCGCCGAGAGCGACAGCTCAAGCTCAAGCAGCTCCAGCAGCTCCAGCTCTAGCAGCGACTCGAGCAGCGAGGACAGCGAGAGCGAGGACGAGAAGCCCGCACCCAAGAAGGTGCTGAAGCGCAAGGCTCCCGAGTCCGACAGCGACAGCAGCAGCAGCGAGAGCAGCAGCGATAGCGACTCTAGCAGCTCCGACGACTCCAGCTCCGAAGACGAGGCCCCCAAGGCCAAGAAGCAAAAGACAAAAGCTTCCAGCAGCTCCTCTTCTGACTCCGATTCTTCTTCCTCCAGCTCCAGCGAGGAGTCTTCTTCTGACGAATCTTCCGATTCGGACTCTTCCGACTCCGACTCTGACTCCGACGGCTCTACGGCCGCCAAGGTGCCCCTCCCCGAATCTGACTCCGACTCCTCCTCTTCCGAGTCTGAGTCTGAGTCCGAAGACGACAAGAAGGTGAAGAAGAACAAGAAGGCAGACAAGACGAAGGAAGCGGACTCGGCCTCCAACTCGTCCGTCACTCTGGATAAGACCTCGCCCGAAGTTAACAGCGCCGCCGACCCTCCTCTGCCTCCCGACCCCGTCGCCTTCCGCGCGCAGAACAACCGTGGCAAGAACGCCAACGGCAAGAAGGTCCCCAACAAGCCCTTCTCTCGTATCCCTGACGTGGTCCACATCGACCCCCGCTTCGCCAGCAACGAGTACGTTCCCAACGACTACTCTAACCGCGCCCACGAGGACCTCATCGTCACCAAGGGCAAGGGCTTCACCAAGGAGAAGAACAAGAAGAAGCGCGGCAGCTACCGCGGTGGCATGATCGACATCACCAGCAAGAAGGGCGTCAAGTTTGACTTCTAAGTCTGCTGGCGGCCCCGCGTTTAAATCTGCTCTTTTGGCCCTGGAGTTTTGGAATCCCCCAAAATAACGTTTTCGGTTCATTCTTGCGAAGAGATGGGGTATTGAAGGGGGTGTGGTTGGTATGATTTAGCAGTTTCCATGTTAGCATTGCACTTCCGGACAAGAAGTTGCTCTTTTCCACTAAGAAGACGAAAGAGCTTGGTACGCGAAATAATCATGATTAGAGCCGGCGTCGACTTTAGCGAGCGATGCCGTGTAAATAGAATAAAATTTCTGTCACATTCCTCTACATTTGCTCAGTTCCTCCCCTCAGACATCCAATGTCAAGAGCGATCCATTCATCTCCCAAACATCATGGTATGCTTGGCCTTGATGCTTCGCTGATCTGCCTCTCCCGTTTGCCACAAAGCTCCTTCATTTTGCTTGTCAAGCATTCAGAGAGGACCCTCTTGATAGTCGTGCCACGAACCTCATCGATGCCCATTTGCGCCTCGACTTGCTGTTGATTGACAGCCTGCCTCCATCGTCGCCTTCCATACATCGCCGCGGAGGCATTCTGGAGTTCGTCAATGAGGGCTTTGCAGAATTAAATTTCTGCCGCCAGTCGGGCTCTGTCCTTGGTGGCGTCCTTGACTGTCCGGTACAAGGCAATGCTTTTCACGCATAGCTCCGAGATCGCGATCAAGCTGGCCGTGAGGCCGATCGCTTCGGCAGCCATGTCGTTAATAATGAGAGGTTGAAATGATCATAGTTCTCTGACGACTGGTTGCGAGAAAACAAGAAGAAAACACGGAGTCTGGAGATGAGGAAGAGAAATGTAGGTAGTTGGGAGAGATGCTTGGATAAGTAGACTTATTGCCGAGCCAACGTCTGCATGCTGCTTTTCAGATATCAAAGCTCTATGTCAATGGTCACAGACAGGAGGAGCCTTTGACGCGCCGGTTATCCATGCAGTGAAGCTGCAACTTTCTGCAAGCCCAGCAAGTGCTCCACAGAAGCACCTCCGTTGTTGAATGGTGCCAACAAAGGAATGGGAGGGAAAGCACCATTGGACTGAAAATTTTCGAACAGTATAGCTGCCTGAAGCCCGGAAAAGAGAGAAGATGTGGCCGAAAGATCGTCCACTAAAGGTCAAGGGGGACCTTGAAACGCCTTTGCCGTCAAAACTTACAGCAGGGCCTAACACACAAGGAAAACAGGCCTTTATCGCCTGAATATTTGCTGATGAGTTTTGCTATCCGAGCGGAGACTTTCAGCCATTCAGGCGGGTAATGGGCATAAAAAACGACGACGACAACGACGATAGGGATAGGGAGGGGGATAGAGACAAAGATTAGAATAGAGACGATAGGGACGACAGGGACGGTGAGAACGTTAGTAATAGCAAAATAGTTTGAATAAATAATTACTAGGCCTAATATAAGTAGTAATCCGCTCAGATAGCAAAACTCCTGCTGGTTTTAGTCTCCCAGACAGCCCAAGATCACCTGTTTCCAGCGAAATTCATCAGCAATATCACGGGAACCGCTAATCAAGGTCTGACAAGCCTCAATCTCAGCGGTGAGTCTAGCCTTGTCCTCGGAGCATGTTGACGCTGTCAGGATATAACAGACGCACTTTTCTGAAAAGTCTAGAATGTAAAGAAAGCTGGCCGTCAGGCTGAATCTGTCTTACATGCCATTCCCGCGCTGCAGCTGCAGCTTTTGACACAAACGGTGTAGGCAAGTAAACAAACCAGGCGAAGCTCTACCTTGCTGTGCATGAAACTTTGGACTAAATACTCGCTGGTATAGAATCGAGACTGCCTCAAATCCCTATCCCTACTCCGCTGTATTTTTTGTGTCCTTAATATCTCCTATCGAAGGCGATAGTAGTAACGACAATCACAAGGACGGGGACGGGGAAAGCGACGACAGTAACGGCGACGACAATGTCGACAAGGTAGAGTACAAAGCCACAGGAAACGTGATCGCTCTAGCAATGGAAAAGACGGCGGCCTATATATTCCATGTTATTACTGAACTACTACTGCTTAACGCCAGTCATGCCTTCCCCCGAAAAGTCTCGCGGATGCACCTAGACTCCAGCATAATTTCAAAGCTGTCCCACCGCCCGTAAACATACACTCGATCTAGTGATTTGAACATCGTCTCGCTGGCATCCTGGATTGCTCAAGTGTCTGACTCGCTTGACTCGTCTCTCTTTCTTTTGAGCAACTTGCGCTTAAGCTGTTCCAAGAAATCATCGAAGAGCGAAACATCATGCTGCTCTTCGGAGGTTTGGTCTTTGGGATTGGTTCCCCTTGGTAAAAGCTGAACAGTAGCAACCAACCAAGCAAGCGCCGCTCTTAATTCGATATCCGCTTTCTTCAATTCTCTGGGACAAAATGTCATGACTCGTTCAAAGGTTCGCCAGAAAGGACGCCCACGATCCTGCCGGGCCTTCAAATACTTGGCCATGTTCTGATGTCTGAAGTTTCCGAACATTGGTGTGATCGTGCTGCTAGCCTGCCGGGGAGGTTGCATTGGAATAGCTGGAAGGCTGCAGTTGGGGAATTTGAGAGTTCCTCCTTTTGCAATGAACTCGAAAGCCGTTTTCAAGCGGCTGTTCCTGTCCCCCGTAACGTCGCTCTCATCATCTCTCAGGTCTTCCAAAGTAACATAGTCGCGCTGCTTCTCTGCTTCGTCCATGAGCCCGAACTGATGCAACATCCATGCATCGAGCTTGAATCTATTCTCGTAGCACCAGTCGACATTATACCAGCCATCGAGCATTTCGAATTCGTTATGTGGGAATCGGTCGAATGGGTGGAGAGGCTTGCCAAGTTGTTGCTGGATATCATCGGAATCTTGACACACTTCGCTATAAAGGGTACCGAGCATTACAGCCTGCGGTATCTCTAGGCGCTCTCCATAGCGTCGAAAAACCACCATGACGTCTTCGGCCTCTTTCAACATTTGTTCGACGCCATGATGCTCATTGGTAACGATGCCGTGCATAAGCTGCATCGTGATCTCATGGCGCACTTGGTCATTAGTGTCAAGGACGAGTACTTCGCCATCGGTACCAAAACGTATCACCGGGTTTGTAGGTGCGATCAGCATGCCGACTCCGTCTTTATCTTCTTCGCGCGTGCACAACCCGCCAATGCTCTCACCCTCGAGATACTCCCTCAGAATGACACCAATGTATCTTTTGCTTCCGGGGTAGTTCTCTGCATTATCGTACGTCTCCAAGACCCATGTGCCATAGTAGTCAGGATTAATGGTCCCAAGCCCAGTTGCAGTTTCATGGTGAAGGTGTTGGAGGACAGCAGCCCGGCGACAAAGATCAGAGTCGGCTATGACCGAATTCCCGTAGCAAACCGCATCCATGACTATGGCCACGATACATTGCTTCCTGTTACCAAAGACGGGAATATCCGCATGTCGAGGGTTTCGCCGAGGGGCCTCGTCGGTCTTGCAAAGGAGGATTTGTCGGTCGTGACTTGCTCCGCCAGAGATCGTTCCAATAATCTTGAGCTTCAGTGGTTGGTCATCCTCATAATGAGCGTCTGGATTGAAACAGCTGGGCCGTTGAGCGGTCAAGTCTTTGAAGGAGCGGCCGTCGGGTGTCGTTTCGTCGCGTTTTGGAGACATGCTCGCGGAATGAGGGGCAACGGGATTCGGGAAAGGCCGAAGTTTCATGGTGTTACCTGCGGTATACTTCGCAAGCGCGTCGCGCTTCCTGGCGGTCACCATGGTGATGTTTTTGCCAACTTGCCAAATGTGAGTGAAAATGTCGGTCAGTTTGATTTCCAGATGGCGCGACGACGAATCTTTGTGAAGGAGGACTTGGCGACGTTGGGGGGGTGGATGGAGAGGAGGAGTGATGGATGGGCAACGGCGAAGAGGGGAAAAAAGAAAGGGGAAAAAAAGGTCCAGAAGGCAATCCGAGTGGTGAAAGGTAACTGCCAAAATTTCAGGTAGGAAGAACCAAAGGGAAGGTGCGACCAAACCGCACCTTGGGTATACCACCTTGGTTTGCAGCGCCACGCAGAGAAAGCCAGGTGAAAGCTTAAAAACCATCAGTTCAGTTAACCCAAAAATACACGCGCCAAAATTCTACTACTGAATCCTTCGAAAAGACGGAAGCCTCCGAACTGGCGTTGCACAATATAACAGTAGCAAACAGAACGAACCCACAGACCACGCAAACGAAAAGAACCAGCAGAAGAGCGCGCAGTATTAAGAAAGCTGCTGCTATGTAACTAACTCATTCTTGCGAGCTGGAGCCAGCATCCGGCTGTCATTTTATATCACCTCCGTTACACCTGCCTAGCTTGACAACACTTGAAGCGATGAAGGGATTTCTGCCGTAGGCACGAGAGACACGAGAAACAGAAGTCTCCAGGTACGGGATGGGAAAGATGGAACAAACGAGAACTGGGAAGATGAGATCTTGACAAATAGAAAGGACGCATGTCCGACATGGGAAATGGTCACAAAGACTCGCGACCGCTTGAGCGCCTGCTTCTGAGGAAAGTAGGGTCAATCTTGCCCAACATATTGTGCCTTCCCGGGTCTTAGACTCCCACCCCTTGTCTTCCATCTTTGGATGTCGGTGTCGCTGGCCTTCATCCTTAGCTAGTTGACGGCAGAATCACCGCCTCATTCAAAGCGCGGTGGGTTATTTCGAGTCGAGATGCGTCCAAGTAACGATTGAAGGATATTCATGCCGCGGGGGCTCTAAATCGTAGAGTCGAACCCATCCGGCCACTTGACCAGTATCGTGCCTCAACACAATACCGCGCAACGAGAGGCCGCCCAGACACCTGGATCAAGAGCAAACACAAGCCTTCCTACCATTGCCAGCCCTGTGTCAAATGGCGTGGCCGAAACGCCACTACTTAGCGCAACAGCCAGCCGGATTGGGGTGGCCTTGCAGCCAGAGTACGGAGCGTGGCCAGAGACCGTCCCTAGATGGAATACTCGCTGGTAAATTCCAAGGTATCGCTGAACTAGTACTGCTACACTTCAAATCATGCCTGCCCCCGCAAACGCCTCGCAGATGCACCATAAACGCCTTGACCGCACGTTGGAGCCTCACTTCTTGGCTCTCCGCTTGCCCTTCTTCGCAACGCTAACGCTGCCTTCAGCGACCTCACCAGCCTCGAGCTGGCCCTCGTTCTCCAGTTCCTTGAGCTTCTCCTGCCCAGAAATAAACATGGTCAAGTCCCGATTCATCTCCTCCAAATCCGCAATCTGCACCTTGTACTCGCCGTCCTTCTTCTTCAACGCCTCGAGCTCGGTGTTGTTGTGCTCCACACGCTTCATCAGCCCCTGAGTGACCTCCTTTTCTTCTTGTAGAGCCTTGCCGAGGTTTCGTGCGAGTTCCTGCGACTTGGTGGCTTTGTTTCTGTCCCGCTCTGCGTCCCGTTCTAGTTGTGGGATGACTTGTGTCTTGAGACGATTGAGTTCTGTCTTGAGAGTCGCGTTCTCTTCCAGCGCGGCTGAAGCCTGTGCGGAGGCGGATTCTGCCGTTGCGGCGGCCTTTGACGCCTTGTCCGCCACCTTGCTGAGCATCTCCTCAAAGTACACCCGCTGCGACTCAAGTTGGCTCGTGAGAAGATGGGTGTACTCCAGACCGATGTTATCCAACTTTGCCCGCGGCACCACATCCTCGTAGCCCCCTTCCGGTCGGTGGTGCTGTCCATTGCTACCTGGCAGCTCGACGACCTTGCCGTCGCCTTTGTCGCGGATGAGGCGATGGACCCAGGTATCGCCCGCATAATCCCAGACATGCTGCGTCTCGAGCTCAAGCGCGAAGCTGTGTGCCGTCTCTTTCCAGTGATCTTTTGCGTGACCACCTTTGTATCTACCGCAGCCGACGTTTCCGCAAATGAGGCAGATCCAGAGGTCGTCTGGTGAGTCGCATGAACTACAGAGATTTGACACGGAGGAACCAAACGGTTGGGTATACGGGTTCGACGGGTCGTATGTGGTTTCAGGGTTCGTGTGTCTGCAGACGGGACATCCTGAGCCCTTCCAGTTCTGGAGACAGTTGCAGTGGAAGACGTGCTGGCAGGGGATCGTCATGAGACCGGTTGTATCGTCCATACGTTCTAAGCACACCGGGCAAGTAGGTAATTCGACGAGGTTTGGTGTAGGGGGAGGGAAGGGTTTGAGGCTGCTCGACGCGGCGACAGAAGAGGACGGTGTAAACGGATCGTGGTTGAGGTCGGGGAACGTGCGGTTTTCTCTTGTCGGCGTCTCAAAAGTGATAGACTTGACGAACACGACGTGACAAACCTGGGCCTGGAACATATTAGTACGACCGCCACGTCCTATGCCGATATGACTACTCACCTCCATGCTGTTGAAGACCTTGCCGTCAAACTCCCTCTGCCACTTCCGCGCGCGCTCACTGTTGCGGAACTTGAGGAGGACCAGATACCGGTTCATCCTGGCGGTCATGACCATCCGGTAATGGCTGATGTCGTTCCGCCATTTTTCACCCACGTATCCTAGGAAATCACCTGGTGTGAGGTAGCTCGGCACTGCCGGTATGCAGAGGGTTGTGCAGTCTACCTCTTTGACTCCATCGTCTTCTGACGGGTCAAGACCTAACTCTGGCGTCTCCTCCTCCTCGCGATAGAAGTGTACCACGCCCCAGCCAACCTCCGTGTTCTTCGTCTCTAGCGGCACGTACTTCGCCTTCGTTGACGTCCCCGCGAACGTGGGGCCCACGCCGAGCGCCGCCGACGAGCTAGCCGCTTCCGCCGTCATTTGCTCTCGCTGACGCTCGTCGTGCAAGTCGATGCTCTGTATGCTCAGCTGCCCAAATCTCCAGTCTCTAACAGCCGTTTCAGGCCGTATCGCGGCGGACGATGGCGGAGGTGGAAAGCTCTGGGTGCGCGCTCTCCACTGCCTTTCGGTCAACCGTTCGAGGTTTCCACCACTGTCCTCCTTTACAGGTGCTCTCGAGGGGCCGCAGTCAATCAGACCAGCGTTTACAGAGGTATTATGCGCTTGTGTGTTCGATCGGTAGGTATCGGCGGGAAGGGTTGTTTCGTATGACTGCAACGGCGAGGGTTGCGGTCTGTGAACGTAGGATTTCTTCGCGGATTTCCTAGAATGTGTCGGGAGCTCGTCGAAGATGTCGATCCCTTTCGGCGGAAGCCAAACTTCTTTGCCAGCCGAAGAAGTATGTGTCTTGCCTTTAGATTGGCCGTCCGTTGGGCTGGGAGTCGGGTAGAGCTCAAATTTCAAGTGGTAAAAGAAGGACCGCATAGCCTTTCGCAACCCTGCGGGCTGACGCTCGTCTGTGGGTGCTGTCGTAGTGGCCGGCGTGCAAATCGGCTAGCAAGTGATGGTATAGAAACGAGGTGTATTATGGAGGTAGAACGATTGTCGCCGAAACACTTCGTAAGGTTTGCTTAAGCTGCTCATAACAACGAGTGGACGGAGGTGTATTTCGGAGGAATAATTTAGGTGCAGGGTCTCTGTGGAAGGTGTTCCCCCACAATGGAACCCCACCGCGGGCACGGGTCCACTGGTCACGTCACTGATAAGGCGCCTGCATTTCGCGGCCGAACCAAAGCGGTGCTAGACTGTCACTGCAGGCGCTGTGTTTCTTTTTCCCGATGGATACAGAACCGATCTAAAAGTAAGAAAGCTGCAGCGATGAAGACTACAACGATGGCAAATGGAGGTGACGGGCGACCACAGCACACGATAATAGACGCTAGAGACGGACGGTGATAACGGGTAACGGACGACAGTGACGTTGAAAGACTACAGTGACAGGCGACAGTGTTAGACAATAGTGACGAACGAGGGTGACGGACGAGGGTGACGGACGCTGGTGACGGACGGGGTGATAGATGACGATAGTGACAGACGATAGTGACAGACGACAATGATAGCAGACGACGAAGCAGGACGACGAAGCAGGACGACGAAGCAGGACGACGAAGCAGGACGACGAAGCAGGACGACGAAGCAGGACGACGAAGCAGAACGAAGACGCAGGACGAAGACGTAGGACGACGACGGACGACGATGGCGGACGACGATGACGGACGATGATGACGGACGATAGCAAGGGCAAGGACGACGACAATAGATACAGACATCACGAGAGGGGACGAATGTAGACTTCAATGGTCTGTATTGGCGCTATTGAGCGCGTGGTGCCTGATTTACCAGGCCCTAACTAAGATATCATCATGCCAATGCCGTAACCCATAACCCATGAACGCCGGTGAGGAAAGAGCCGCCGCCTACTGGCCTCCACGGAGGCGCAGAACCAAGTGGAGGGTCGACTCCTTCTGGATGTTGTAGTCGGAGAGGGTGCGGCCGTCCTCAAGCTGCTTACCAGCAAAGATCAAGCGCTGCTGGTCGGGGGGGATGCCCTCCTTATCCTGGATCTTGGACTTGACGTTGTCGATTGTGTCTGACGACTCCACCTCCAAAGTAATCGTCTTGCCCGTCAGGGTCTTCACGAAAATCTGCATACCTCCGCGGAGGCGAAGGACCAAGTGAAGGGTGGACTCCTTTTGAATGTTGTAGTCGGAGAGGGTGCGGCCGTCCTCAAGCTGCTTGCCAGCGAAGATAAGACGCTGCTGGTCGGGGGGAATGCCCTCCTTGTCCTGAATCTTGGACTTGACGTTGTCGATGGTGTCGCTAGACTCAACCTCGAGGGTGATGGTCTTGCCAGTGAGAGTCTTGACAACTGGAAAATGTTAGTACGATGCTGGGTGGTAGATGTCGAGGAAGTCGATTACTTACAGATCTGCATGCCACCACGGAGACGGAGAACCAAGTGAAGGGTAGATTCCTTCTGGATGTTGTAATCAGACAGGGTACGGCCATCCTCGAGCTGCTTGCCAGCGAAAATAAGACGCTGCTGGTCGGGGGGAATACCCTCCTTGTCCTGAATCTTCGACTTCACATTATCGATGGTATCGGAAGACTCGACCTCGAGGGTGATGGTCTTGCCAGTGAGGGTCTTGACGAAGATCTGCATGATGGCGACTTCTGAGTGGTTGTGATGTGATTGATGTAACTGATGGTGGATGTAGAAGTTGTCGCTGATGGACGAGTGCTTGTGTGGGATGGAAGACGGATGAATGTGAGAGGAAGAAAAAGAGTGGTGGAGGAGAGGTTGAAGTAGTTAAATAGTAGGAGGCAGAGGAGATACTGGGCAGGCAGGAGGCGGGTGGTGACTGACCGCGGCGAACGGAAGGTAAGGGAAGGCAGTGGGGGGCGCAGGCGCAGGTGGAGAACCAACCTGGAAGGTACCTTACTGCGTCCTTACCTGACAGTTATGCGGTGCACTGAGGCAGTACGGATATGCCTTGTGTCCTTGTCTGGGGGAATGGCGAATGATTCATCAGCAAGCAAGAGCGCTAAGGTAGGCAGGAGCAAGCCGGAACCCTCCAGAACCAAGTGGACCAGGAGGGTGCGGGAGGTAGCCAGTACCATCCAGAAAGGCATGGACAGGTGCTGATTTCATGTACTCGCCACTTCTTATCTGCGCTATCGGGCCACCTCTCCCGCCGACCTGGAAAGGCTGGAACCCAGTTCTGCTGTGCCTGATGTCTCAGTTCGCAGCGCTGGACCTGCCGCTGGCCACTGACCACGACGGTTGGCCACTCGCCATCGCCGCTTCTTTGATCAGATGGCCTCGCTCATGCCGCCGTAGCCCCGAGACGCCATTCGACGAGTGGCTGCCGAGAGATCAAAGATCTGTTGTTTGTGATCAATGGCAGTTGCGAGATGCGAATCTTCAAAGAACTGGGAGGCGGGAGCGAGCTCGGGGGCCCGTCGGCAAGAACGTCTCGCGCAGGAGGGAGCCACTGTTTACTGTTTCCCCGGAGCCTTAAGCGTTAGGCAGTCTGTCACTGATGGGTCGCCGCCCCATCGCAACTCGCAACCCCTGCACCTGCTCCGCCTCTGCCGTCCACCTCGGACTGTCTTCATCAGTCGTCATCGCAGACGACTCAGTCATGGCTGAGAAGCGTCGCCGAGAGCATTCACAGTGTACGGCGTAGACCACCACAGCTGGAGGCTGGAATGTTTCCCCCCACGGACGAACCAACCTGCCAAACCGAGAAGGCGGGCGGTTAAACAACTGGCTGTCTTCGTTCTCGACGCTGGGCTAGGAATGTGTGTCTCACCCAACCGCACCGAGAACACCACCTTGACGATGGATGGCTGCAAACTCAACCAACTCACAGACGCCAGACCGACTCAAGGCCACACACTATCATCCAGGCACTGACAATGTGAATGCGGTGGCGCCCCACCCGCCACCCGGATGCCGGCCATTTTCAGAAACACGGCGACGCCTGACTGGCAAAGCGCGTGCAATGTGTCACTACCACCACCTTAATCGCCACTTGAGAGCCTCCAGTCAATCTTTTCCTCGTCCGAAGAATCGCCTGCCAATCCCCCGATGCCTCTAAAGCTTCTCTGGACCTCATCGCTAACCTCTTACAACGACTTCATCGGTTGTCCGTTTGCCTACCTTGGCCTCACCCAAGATGGCTTCATTTCCACGTCTCAGCGCGCCCGCGGTCGCCGAACAGTCACACCAGACCCCGACAGCTCACCCCGGTATCGCTATCGCTGGATCCCCGCATTTTAGCGCATGATGACGCCAGACGTCATTCCTCCCAACCTCTTGAGCGCCCGACCCTGATTTTACCATCGTTCGAGACCGACCGACGAACTGCAACCTCTTCGGCCTGCCTGCCCAACAATGTCCTTTGAATAAATTACCCGGGAGGAATGGGTGTGTGAAGAAATGTCTCTTTCACTGTTTCGGGAGCAAGCCACATGGATCACGGTAGGACGAGACCGATCAGATCCAGTCGAGAATGCTTCCCAGTGACGCTTTCGTTTCGTCGGAGAAACGAGACAGAGGGATTGCGACATCGCCATTTCGACGCTCGGCCCTCGTCAAGACGACTCACGGTCGGCGCCAGAGCCCGTATTGGCCAGCCGACCGACATCGTGGCACCAAAGTGCGAACGTGGCAGACTGGCAGTTCATGTCTGCAGCAGACGAACACCACCAACTGCACTCCTCGCAGCCAGCCACCGTCTTATTGGTTTGGCCTCAACGTGCCAAACCGCCAGCGCTGTCTCTGATTTGCTCCGATAAGGGTCCCCCTCCCCGACTTAACCCCGCAGGCGTTCGCGTTCTTGCGGTCAGCAGGCCATGAAGGTCAGTCAATAGTTCCAACTCAATGTCGACAGAAGTCAAAAAAATTGTCCAACGGGCGGAGGTCCCGTGAACGTCCCTGGAAACAATTCCGCGACCGGCATGGGGAGCTCAGTCAGCAGCAGTTGTCTGAATCGCATCAACCAGTGCACTGTCGGGAAGATTCGCCGCTACAGTCGGAGCAATAAACCAGGACCTCTGTAATCAACGGCGAGGCCAATTGACTGAGGATCCAGGAGCCAATCAAGCCTTCGGAAAGCCTAATGTTGTCCTTAGATTCACAGCGTTACTTTCAAGGGCTGTGTTGACTGCAAGGGTCCCGCTAGATCAGGCCACGTGCCAGACACTGCGAGACAAGCTGCACGACCATCGTGAACCGCAGTATATGCTCAGTGATTCGATGGAAACTGTGAGGCGACCAGGAGAGTGTTGATAACAACAAACAAATTGCAGGCATCTCTATACAGCGCTTTCTTGTCTCCGCTACTCTCATGATTGGGGCCTCTCAGTTCCTGGGACCACCAAACCTGTCTGTGAAGACATGGGCCTGGCGACCTGGCCCGTAATTGCGGGTTGGCTCACCGCTTCAACGCATCGTGAAGGGGGTGATTGCGGTCAACTTCGTAGAGTATAAAGGGCGTATCGTCTGTCCGTCCCGTCCACGTCCGAATGCAACCTGCCAGGCCCTCGCTCTCGGACCGAGCAGACTTGCAAGACGTAGCTATCCTGACTTGCTTGGTCAGTGACGCTTGGGTTCGGCGCGCTCTCGTCCTGCTCTCAAGCCTGAAGAGACCGCCGAGGCGAAGATCATGGCTTGTTGTCTCGCAGACTGTCACCGACGCGTCGACATGGCATGACCAAGTAGGCGCGTCAAGACACGTGTGTCCGCATGGCGTGGTCGACAAACAGGCCGAGAGACAACGAGGAATTCACGTTGGTTGCTTCAAGGTGCAACTGATGTGAAGGGCAAGAAACAATCTCTTCGATATATCGAATTTTGGCCTAACTACAACGGACATAAAAATGCCGAACCTATTCGGCCAAACAGAGCCTCTCCAAAA